ATAACTGCATTGTGCATTAGTTGAACGCTTCTGAACTAATCAACTTCCAAATCGAGCAGAAATTCATTCAAAAATTAAATTGGTAGAAGATTTGAAGATTATTAGGTGTGCTGAGTGAGGCTCATTGTACATTTGCAACTGAGTGTGTGAGGAATAAGGTAGGTAAGAGGACAGCAAAGTATAATACATAACCCAAGTCTAGACTATATTCGCAAAATTAATTTCGAAAACAAATAATGATGAATGCCCAGCGAATTCAACTTCAGTTCCTCTCTTCTGTGGTACTCTTGAGTTTGATTGCCAATATATGCCTTTCGCTCATTTGCGAGCATTTGCTTGCGTGTTCTACGGACGACGGTGCTTTGACCAGGAATCTACCGGTATGTTTTCGGAGCTGTTGTAAAATTCATTATTATTTTTTAAAATAATTGTTACTGTTGTTTTACTATTATCATCGTTTTTACCGTCACATTACTCATCATCATCGTTCCATATGTTATCGTTTTAACAAATTTCATTGCCTGTTTTTAAGAAATGTTTTGTGAACATTCAACACTCTCATTCACTAGCATTTATGTCTATTTTCATCTTCATAAAAACTCCATAAAATTCTCATTTCCAAATTAATCGCGGTAGAGATAAATTCCTGAATGCCTGTGGTCAGCCTGTGTTGGATAAGGACTGCATTCATCCAGCGACGTTATTCTTCATTTATGAACAAAACCCAAGAAGTTGCAAGCGATTTGCTAAATTCACGACATACTGATCAAACATAGTTGGATGCTCTCAAAAGTACCGACTTCACCAACATTGTCAATATTGAATGTGACATCTGAGAAATGATTTAATCTTTTTGTTCAGGCTGCATGAGTAGTACAAGTGAAACGTGTCTTGATCTCAACCCTGTATGCTATGAACAACACAATACAACTGCCTGCATCGAATATGGAAAACTTCGTTGCATGGAGAATTGCAATTAGATTTCCATTCAAACTAGCGTTCATTTACAAATAATTGTTGTTGTATTCCAATGTTCTCGAATACAATTTAGGAACTTCGTAAGTAATAAATGAAACACTTAGGTTCATCTAACTCTGTAATGTTTCTCCGCTGTCTCTTTTCCTTGATATTTTTTGGTTTGCGTGGAAAATGAGAAAATGAGAATATAAGTTTTTTAGGAAATAAAAATCTCTATCAGGATTCGTGTTCAGTTTGCAAGTCATGAGAGACACCTTTAAGAAGTGCTGCCAACAAAATAAGTGATCTCATGAAACAATCGGAGAAGCGATTACAGTCATAGTCGAACGAGTGTTAACGAAGATGAGAATGCACTTTGGCTGTTCGGTTGATAGCCACCGAGGAAAATTTTCGGCTCTCAACCCTGATATGAGAGCAATCGCTAATTTTCAGCAACTTCACAATGATGCTAAGTAATATCAACTCGTTATCGATATAGAAACCTGGCACAGTTCTGCAGCAAGAGGGAATTGAATAAAGTAGTGATTTTGATTACAAATTTCAATTCAGAAATTCATTGTTGGTGACAAACTCGAGAGCAATTGGTTTCTTTTATAAGAAATTCCATTGTTTATTTCATGCAATCTCAAAAGACTGAGATCCAAATGAAGTTGTGATTATTACATTGGAACAATGTTGATCAATTAACATACTGCAACAGGATCATGACCAGCACCACCTTCAAACTATCGCTGAACTATCTTATCGAAGGCGTCTGTGAGATGAGTAAACATGGAGTGAAATTCACTGATTGATCAATTAACAGATTACGGTATATTGGAACCAGTGCTACGGAAATCACAATACACATTTCAGAGAAAATTAAAATCTCTATGCATCCGAATACACGTTTAGTTTTTAACTTATGCGACAATTCTTCAAAGAAAGGAGAAAAAAATAACCAACCCAACGTTACCGGATATCAGGTGCACCGTAACGAAAACAACCAATACACCTTCACACCAATCGACCACCTCAGCACAGACCAACACATCATCACCAAAACATGTCTAAACAATTGCTCCTGTTGCAAATTTATCAACAAAAGCCCGTGGAATACTAGTAGCATCACCAATAAAAGCTTCAAAACCAAAAATGAACCCCACCGACACCACCGGATTCTGCTGCGACAGCAGACAGGTTATCCGCTGCATCATATGCCATAAACACGGTTTTCAATACGTAGCACAAAGCAGCCAATCCCTCAAAGAACCTTTCAACCCACACAAACTACACTTCAATAACCAAGCATTCCAATAATCTACCGATTCCGTTCTACCTTCACTACAACAGTACTAAACACAACGACAACGATTTTTCTATCCAAATACTTGAACGCCTCCCTAATAAAAGCTCACTCAACGACGCTGAATCGTTCTGGATCAATTTCTCAAGAAGCACCTCTCCACTCGGCTTAAATGACAATATCAAAGATATTGGCAACATTTCACGCCTAATCCAATCTAAAATCTGCTCCAAACCCATACCATACTTCCAAACCTTCAAACTAGCCAACAAGCATAATACACACGGTAGACGAGCAAGAAACAGTAAATTTATAAACCAACCGTTCATAGGCAATGTCATAAACACAAAAAATTTTGGATGGCAGAAATCATGCAGTTCTTCCCAAAGCGTTCGTGATTCACGAAAATGCAAGCATATTATCATCACTCTTTGTGCACATCTGAAATTGAAATGTTTCAATCCATCTGAGCTGAGTGACTGCTTTCATTCGACTGCCTCACTTCACGAGTTGTATCTCATAGGTGATCAACCTGAAACATCATGGTTTCCATTTTCAACTTAAGTGAGTCCTCAGGTTTGCATAGAAGTGTACAATTTCTTTACACGGTCCGATTCAGGAGATTCTTGGCTCTCAGAAAAGTGCATAGGTTGTTGACAGAGAATGCTTATTTTGGCACAGATAAGGTCAGATGGCACTGGATCTTGCGACCAAGAACATATGACCTAATACGCTACCCACAGACGAGAATTATCAAAATTCCTTTCGCGTATGAGTGTCTCATACGCTACAGACAGCCACACGATTTTGTCTTGTCCCTCAGCCAGTAATTATCTGTATGTGAAGAAGGCACACGAAAAAACCCTAATTTTACTCTTCATTCAGCAAGGAACGTTTATACAGAATAATTAGTGAGTATTGATAATCATGAAAATCATTCATTAGACCGATGGCAATTAACTTGTTCTACTTGATCGAGGTGATTGAATTTAACATTGTGAAATTAAACCTTGAAAAACTCGCTCAATGATTCAGTCAACTCAGTTTGCTTCACTCTAGATGAGCAGTCACGGGTGTTCTATACCTCATTTCGGTTACATAGCCAACTATGATTGCCTTGCACAACAATTATTATTAATTAGAAGCTTGCGTAGAGAACACACTTAGAATTGCTATTGCCCTTCCCAACTTCAAAAAATTAATTTACTCATCTTTCTAGCATTTAGGAATCCTATCTTAACTATCAAAGGTCACAGTGTGTCAGTGGTTGGAAAGATGCAATTTTTAGTCCTCTAACGAAGTATTTCAACTGAAGTTAATTGATTTGAATTTCCTTTATTTTTCAACGAAGTGAAAATCAAATTTGATCATGCATATCGCTTGTTTTTTGAATACTTACAAAATGTTTTCCATAAGTATCAATTGTATTTCACTGATTCAGCTCGTATTGACTTCAATTTTTTTTCGAGTTCATTAAAATCTATGATCTGATAATAGCACCGTTTGCACTTGCATAACATTTTCTTTTGATCGTTACAGCTTCATTCACTGAGTTTTCAATGGATGCAACAGATACTAATAGCAATAGCAGCAACGAGAATATCGCCGCCGGCACAATCATTTTATTGGTTTGTCTGATATTTATTTATTGCGATCACGCTTCATCCTCTCGAGATTCCAACGGCTATCATTACCCGATCTTTGCACTGGAGAGGCGTCGGTGGTCACCGATTGAAACTGAACTAGGACGATTTGTTGGTAATTACCATCGGATTTGACTGCACCCAATAGGGTTTACGATGAGTGGTCGCCGAAAAAATCTTGCCGATTGCCAATTCTAACTTCATCATTAACATTGTTGCGATTTTTCTCGTTTCATCGCATTCAATCAGTCGAAAAACTTAAGTGCTCATTGCTGTTCAGCTGCTCGATTGAAGTTGTTCAAAATTTTCATTTCAGGTCGGTGCTCCAGGTATTCTAGTGAACATTTATGTAGCGTTAGCCATTTTATTTGTTGACGATTTATCGAAAAATGCATTCGGTATAATTTGTTTCTCGAATTGTATTGCGAATACAATTGGAATTGGTTCATTTGTTTTTTGGTGTGCACCATGCACTTTGGCGTTAGTTTTGATTTTATTCGAAGCTGACACTCTGTTGGAACTTGTTCATTCATTCGCAAAACATTTGGTTTATCGCAAGGAAATCGGACGTTTTGGAACGCAATTCCCCGAAGAATGGCTATCTTGGGAAATGACTGCACCGATGTTGCTGTTCACAGACAGCCACTTCGGGGACTGTTGTTTGAGAAGTAGCTCATCCACTCATCTAACATTTATCAGCTTTAGAAAAAAAAATGAGAAGAATGAATGGAGAAGCAAAAATCAATCGCATGATCTCAGCTTTCTTTCACAAAAAATTAACTGATTCTAATGTTGCCACTTCTAGCTAATTGGAATCTGATATTTCATAGGCATGCACTCTTAGGCTTCAAAATAGGCATTTTCTATTGATGACAATGAATTTGAGATCGAGAATGTTGGTCGACGGAAAATTCGCCGTAATAATGGGTAGAGTGATCATATCCGCTTGGATAACAACTGCGAATACACAGTTCGTTCTTTCAAGCAATCGATTCGTCGCACTCTACTTACCTTTGAATTACTCACGGATATTCTCACGTAAAAATGCCATTCTAATGTCTGTAGTGCTGTGGACACTGACCTCATTGGTCACTATCATTCTCACTTTTATCGGTAACTTGATTTTCTAGTCGAAGTTCATTGAATACATTTTACTTTGTTCATTCCCATATCATCAACAATAGGGAACAGCTCTTTTCGTAGAGGCATTAAGCAATAATTATATAGATATTGACTTGATCTCCTTTCTTATTCATCAAGAACGGAACAGATTGTGATGAATAAGAATGGAAATCAGTTCGTTTCAGAAGATAGTTGAAGTTCTTTCGAAACACTTCAAAGCAATAGAAAGAACACTTTAGTTGGCTATCTCATTGTCAAAAATTGAGTTAAATCATAGATGGCTTTCTCATTGAGTTGAATCATCGTGGAAATTGCAAAGAAATTATTCAGCAATCGTAGACACTTATTCAGATGCGTGTGGTATAGTGTACGCCCCGAAGCGATACGTTTAGTTTTGGAATACGGATAAATGCTCTGGAAAGGCTGAGTTCTATGTCGCTTTTGGTTATGACGTCGTTCTGGTTGTCGCATCGGCAATTCTCGATAGTGCTGGCTTTGTGAGAGTGTTCAAACGGTGGAAAGAAGATAAAGCGGTAAGTTTGAATTGAATGCTGAGTGATGTGATCGTATCGTAATCAGACGCTTACATTCATGTGCACTCTTGAATGGTAACGAATGTTAGTTGTTGCAAAGCAGAACGACCGATAGTAACGCAATCACGAAATGCTAGCTAATTGATAAGATTGCGGATGATGAAATATAATCCACTCTTATAAAGCCAAGCAAATGACACCGATGAAGAACTGAACATTTCACTTCAATAAAATTAAATGCTCCATTGCAGCAAGATGCCAATAATGAATGCACCGAAATTCTACGCTAGAGCTGATGTTCTCCTTTTTTGTCAAGTGCATTCGTTTAATGATGGTTTTTTCATTGCGCTCATATGATATTTCATATGTTTTTTTGTTCGTTTTCAAAATTCAACACCACCAGTTGCTGTCTTTTGTGGGAATCATTTCCTCACGAATCCTAAATCATTCGCTTTTGAAATATTTGTATTATTTTTACCTCAATGTATTGATTGAGTTACAAACATCAAATGGGCCAGTTCCCTTTAGTAATTGTTCTCAAACGCCTACCGTTGTCAAAATTTTTCACGACTGAAGAAACTTACAAAGTTGACTACCGATGGCAGTGGGACGTTGAAATTGGGAGCGGTCAGCTGTAAACTTGTAACATCCGCTGCAAATTTAGAAGGTTTTGTTTTTGATTGCAGGAGATGGAAGGAGGGGGATGGGGAATGAGGGGAGAACGGAATGGGGAATGGATGTTTCATTTTTGTCCACCTATCGTCAACTCCGCATTGCTTCAAAATTTAGCCGGCTTTCCTAAAACTGTGTTTTGCGGGTGGCTAAAAATTGAGTTATTTTCAGGCGTTTTTGATCAATTTTTTCTGTCTGATTATGATGATCAATATCAGCCTGGCTTCGTTTTATGCCGAAACGAAGTTTACTGCATTTCTTAGCAAGACAGTTGGTTGGGAACTAATGCACTTGGTTCCTGGGTGAGTAACGACTCTAAACTCGATATCATAACATCAGAGTGCGTCAGAGCAGGAGGACAATATTACAAGAATTCATGCGCTAAGGATCATACGCACACGAAAAAAAAATCAGTTCATTCAAAGAAACAACTCGAATGATTGAACAAGATTGTATCCATTGAAAGCTTTTCGATACCACTCATTTGTTCCAATCGAAAATTGAACATTTACCACGAAAAGATGTGCAGTGTGTTTCAAGCGAGAAATTTTACGTTAATTAATGCTGATGAAGAAACATGCTAAACTGAGTTAAATGAAGAATTCAAGTCAAGAACGCCGCAAGAAATGAAAAAAAAAACTGCCTTTGAACTCTGGTGCTCTTGCAGGTTTCTATTCTTCATGCTCAATTCGAAAATTCGTCATTTTGCTCACAAGCGCTATGAAGCTCTTCAAACTTGTTTGCGTAAAATGTGCACAATTTGGTATGACTGGACTAAAACCAGCCCTAAACCTAAAACAATTTTCGTGACTACACAGGAATAATGTACAGAGTTTATTATATCTATGCTAAACT